TCTGCTGCTTGTCAGGACCAGAAAAGGGAAATGGCTTGTCCAGGCAGAAGCAGATCCCAGTCGAGAACCCAGGCTCCGAAATTTCCAGCCTAGCACAATGATTCTCAAGTGAGATTAACTCAAGTGAGTTGAAACCATGCATATAAAGATGCTGTCATTCTTAATGCCATTATCATGCATCACTAAGATTTTGTTTTTTCATTAATTCTGCTTCGTTGGGAAAGGCAGCCTTTTCTACTTCCTTTAGTTGGTGGTCAAAGTAAAGGAGATTTCCCTGAGAGTCTCAAGGTCCAGGCAGTAGGAGATAGATTTTGAGGATAGCCCCATCCTGGTCTAGGTTCTAAACTTCTGACCCTAAATACAAACTGGAAATTCTATTTCCTTCTTCCCCCACCACCCAGACCCATCCATTCCCTCCCTCCTCCAACCTGCTATATAACTAAGCTAGGGATCATGAGCCCTCTTTCCCATGTTTTCTGATGTCATCTGGCTTTCAAAGTCTTCTGTCTGTGTCTGTCCTCTACTAGCCCAGGCTCCCAAGATATCAGGAGCCAGGTCTCTAGCCTTTCCATCGGCCACTCCCCCACCATGCCCTATGGTCAGAATATCCTTGTCCTCAATCAAAACTCACTTTAGAAGCAGAATAAAGCGTTGGTGCTGTGGAGAGAATTCTCCCCAAACCCAACAGCTGGTAACAGGTCTCACTGTTGAGGTAAAGATAGAGTCCCCGACCCCAGTGAGGCTATCCTTTTCTGGTAGCTGAGTGCTTTTGCTCTAGAAATTCAAAAGCAGCAAGGCACTCCATCCTCATTCCACTTTACCCCCAACACATGGCTCTTGGAAGGTGCCAATATTTCTGCTTGTGTCTGGGCCACTTCCTGGATTGCATCTTCTCCAAAACCGAATGTGAGATTCTCATCACTTCTAGCCTCTATTGCCCAGATTGGGGCCAGAGATGGGGTAGAGGGAAGTGGATAGTTTCTGGGCAACCCTGGATATCAGCTACTGAGCTGGTTGCCTTACATGCACTAGCTTATCTATTCCAAAAACTTCACAGATTCAGGAAAGAGATGGCTTCCAGTTGGGCAGTTTTACTATTTCCAAAGCACTCCCTTAGCATTCCTGTGACTGACCTCCCAATCTTTTTTTTTTTTGGGTCCGGTCATGGGGCCTGAACTCTGAGCCTGAGCGCTTGTCCCTCAGCTCTTCAGCTCAAGGCTAGCGCTCTACCACTTGAGTCACAGCGCCACATCCGGCTTTTTTCTTTTTGCTTATATGGTGCTGAGGAATCGAACCCAGGGCCTCATGCATGCAAGGCAAGCGCTCTACCACTGAGCCAACTTCCCAGCCCTGACTTCCCAATCTTGTGACATAGAGCAAATATTAGTCTTCCCATCTTACAGATTCAGAAAGTGAGGCTGAGAGATGGCCTAAAGTCACATAGCTTATATACAGTGGGGCCAACTCCTAAACTCAGGTCTTCTTATGTTAAATCCATGATCTTTCCACTGTGGCAGGCTCTCAGCTCCTCCTTGAAGTCCCTGGTAGAAATAGGGACAGTCAGCTGGGCTAGTCCAGTCCAGTGGTCACAGAACCTTGGAAAGGGTGGTGGCAGGGTAGGAAGGAAATGACAAAGAACTCGGGGCTGGTTTCTGCCCTTGAAGAGCACCCAGTCTGGAAGAAGGTGGAGATCAGACACACCCAGACCAGCATGGGGGCAAGGTGGGGCCACAGAAGGCTCTGAGCTGAGAGGAAGAGGTGACTGATCACCAAGATCCAGCAGCATCCACGTTCATATCCCTTTGTGTCAGGTGATTTCGTATTTGCAAAAGTTGCTTTGCTATTGTCATGTGTCTTTAAGCTGTGACTTATTGTATATACTCACAATGCCTCCTGGCTAAATTGTAAGCCCTTTGGGAATAGTGCTCCTTATAGTTCTTGGATGGTATCTCTTATCTTACCTTCCCTCACTAGTCTTAGCTAACACAATACTCTCCATATAGTAAGCACTCAATAAAATGTTCATTTGTCAGTAAATGCTGTTTCTTCCATAACTTGAGATGGTCAATTCGGTCCAAGTGTCAGGGACAGGCCAGCCTCCCTGTATTTCTAGCCCAACCCTCAGCTTCCCTCAGAAAATCCAGAGGCCCTGAGTCAAGAGAGAAGAAGCTCTCTTCCAAGAGATTCTGCCTGCCATAAGACCTATCTTCTAGCCCAAAACATCCCATGGATGTGAAGCTGGCAGGGTAGGATCTTGAATATGCAGGGAAATGATATTCCTGAATATTGTGGCTCAGGTAATTCACTGTAACAACCTGGAGACAAAGTGATTCTGGTCGTTAAGAGAAATGGAAGTATTCCAGTCATGGGCTTGAGAAACAGAAGCAACTGTCTTTGTGAGTGTCCTTGACAGATAAGGCTTCCTTTGGTCTTATCCAACCCATTATCTGGATCTCATTTCTGGTCTCTGTGTGATCCTGAACTGGTAACTTCTGACTCTGTTTCCTCACAAGGGAGGGACTAAATCTAGGGAAAGAAAGGGGAAGGGTGCAGCATAAAGCAAGTACAGAGTGAAGGTGTCCGGCCTTGATGTCTCTAAGGTCATCAGGGTCATTGTCCAGTCAGTTCCTGGCCCTGCAGAAAATCCTGCCTATGGCTGCCATAGGAGAAAGAACTCTTGCTTTAAAGGAGACGGGGGGAGGAGCTGCTCCAGCAGGAAATGCCAGAGCAGAGCAGGGAACAAAGGTGGGGTTTCTTTGGCCCCTGTTTTCTTTGGCCTCTTAGCTGCCAGGGAGCCCAGAGCCTGCCCCTTCAGATCTAAGATTTCCTGTGGGCTCCTCCTCTTAGTCCTTGCTGGACAGACTAGCTGGAGGCACCTGTTCTCTCCCTCTGCTTATCACCCCCCCCCCCCATACACACACAGGTCTCCAATCCTCAGAGGGCATTAAGTTAATCACAGCATGAGGGGACTTAGCCCAACACTGTGTTTCTCAAGCAAATGTTTGGTGGGGCTGGAGGGGAGGTGCAGGATCCTGAGGGTGGGTGTCTGCCCTCTACCCTCAAGCCCTAAAAAGAGCCATCCAGTTTCATTCCCCACATGCCAAAGTGGGGAGGGGGAAATGGAGGAGTGGGACCAGCAGCAGAGAGAGGCTGGGGGCTGGGAGGTAAAGAGACAAGGCAGGGTAGGAACTGGAAGAGAATATCACCCAGTTCAACTTTGAGCGGTAGGGGGAGGGGCAACTGGGGACCCTGATGGCTCACACCTGTAATCCCAACCACTAAGGAGGCTGAGCTCTGAGGATTAGGGTTTGAAACCATCCTGGGCAGAAAAGTCCTTGAGATTCTTGTCTTTCTTTCTTTCTTTCTTTTGTCGGTTGTGGGGCCTGAACTCTGGGCCTGGGCGCTGTCCCTCAGCTGTTCAGCTCAAGGCTAGCGCTCTACCACTTGAGCCACAGCGCCACTTCCAGTTTTCTGGTGGTTCATTGGAAATAGGAGTCTCACAGACTTTCTTGTGGAGGCTGGCTTTGAACTTCAATTCTCAGATCTCAGCTTCCTGAGTAGCTAGGATTATGGGCAAGAGCCACTGGCGCCCAGCTTGATTTTTTTTTTTTTTTTTAAAGAACAATAAAGAGACTGCTGTAAGGAGAGGCTGAGATGACCAGTCCCACAAAGAGACATGGGGGTTGGTTGATGGAGTCTGGAAAAGGGATAAGAAGCAAACAGATGGCTACGGGGGGAGAAACAAAGACAGAACAAGGGTTTAAGGGAAGAGACTTAGGAGGCTGGGGGGGGTGGGGGCGAGGGGGAGAGGGAATAAGGAGGGAAGGACGAGAAGGAGAAGGCAAAGGTTAAGATCTAATGTGGTGGACTTGTAGCAGAGAAAAAGCCAAGGCCTAGCATCGGGACCCCCAATCTCAAGACCTCTAGCAAACACGAATTGGTTATTCCTCCCAATACACAAGGGTAACTCCAACCACCACCACCACCACCACCACCATCGCCCGCCACTTCCTGCAGAGCTTGGGGCTGCACCCTGGGACGGCTACCCTGGAAGGTACCCTCTACCCGGGGAGGGGTGGGGGGTGCCCAGTCTAACTGCCAGGTCTGGGTACATGGTATGAAGTCGAGGATGGCTAACAGCCGGGCCAGGCTGGCACGGTGCCTCGGATCCCAAACGCCCCCGCTCCAGCTGGGGCTGGACTGGGAGAGGCCCAGGACGGGACCGCGCCCGCGCACCACCGGCGGCGGACCGGGAGGCTAAGAGGTGCGCTGTCCCCGAAGAAGTCGCATCACTCGGGGCCCAGCCGCCGAGGGAGGCCGGGCCAGGATGCTCGGGTGGCGGGAAGAAAAGGAGGAGGAGGAGGAGCTGGAACGAAGATCGGAGGAGGAAAGCAGCCAAGAGCACCGACGGAGGTGAAGGCGCCGCGGTAGAGGTGGATCTAGCTCCCCGTCGGACTGGAGAACCCGGACCTCGCCACGTCTCGCAGGGAGACCGGGACGCACGGCGCCGCCTCCGCCTAGGCGAGCTCCGGAGCCGCCGCCGGGAGCGCACGATGCGCGGGGCTCCAGCTGCGGGCCCCGTCTACACCGCTGCCTCCTGGGTCACGTGGCCCGGGCGGGTCCGCCGGTGCGGGGCCCGCGGCGGCGGCGGCGGCGGCGGCGGCGGGGGAGCGGCCGCCAGGAGGGGGGCGCGCGCGGCCGGGGGCCGGGGCGAAGCGCCCGAGGCTACCAGATTCATTCCGTGTGCGCTGCCCTGGGCCCCGGGCTCGGGAGCCGCCCACTGCCCCCCCGCCATCGCCCCGCCGCGGGGCGCCCGCCCTCTATATAGCGCGCCCCTGCCCGGCCTGCGCCAGGCCGCCAGCCGCGGAGTGGGCGCTGGACAGCCGACGGCGCCCCGCCACCACTGCCCCGCCGCCGCCGCCCCCGACGACGCCGCCGCCCCCGACGCCCACACGGCCACCCCACGCCGCGGCCGCAGCCGCCGGGCCCCCAAGGCCACCATGAAGAAGGAGGTGTGCTCCGTGGCCTTCCTCAAGGCCGTTTTCGCTGAGTTCCTGGCCACCCTCATCTTCGTCTTCTTCGGCCTGGGTTCGGCTCTCAAGTGGCCATCGGCGCTGCCCTCCATCCTGCAGATCGCCATGGCCTTTGGCCTGGCTATAGGTACTCTGGCCCAGGCCCTCGGGCCCGTCAGTGGTGGCCACATCAACCCGGCCATCACCCTGGCCCTCCTCGTTGGCAACCAGATCTCGCTGCTCAGGGCTCTCTTCTACGTGGCAGCCCAGCTGGTGGGCGCCATTGCTGGGGCAGGCATCCTCTACGGGCTGGCACCACTCAATGCCCGGGGCAACCTGGCCGTCAACGCGGTGAGTGCCCACGCGGTTGAGGAGGGGTGGTCAGCGGCGCTGGGGGGGGGGGTTCACTCGGGACCAGAACTGTCCTTTGTCACGTCTTGAGAGTGGGTGTAACCGAGTGCGCCAGGCACATCCCGGTCATGAAGACCAGGACAACGGACTCTCCCGGCAACCTGTCTTCCTTTCTGCTGGCCACCCTTGTGCATTTCTTCTGCCTGTTCCCCTCCAGCTGCTCCACTTGGCCCCTTCCTGGTGCTTAGTGCTCCTTCTTCTGTCTCGCCTTTGAGTTCTTGTTCCCTTGGGCCCCTCACCTCTCTGGCTGCACCTCCGTGGAGCAGTTGTAATGGAAGCGCCTGAGAAATGAGCTGGAACCCCTGTTTGGGATGACCCTGGCTTCTCCATACTTCATTTTTTTCTTTTTTTATCCCTATCCATTACACCGAGATGGCCGTACCATCTGGAGATGGCCATGACACCCAGGTGCCGTGGGATTACATTTAGAAACCATTCTGTGACCCCTCTGGTGTAGTAGCAGTGCGTAGTGGCCTCTGTGGAATATGGCGCCCCCCTCTCCTCACCCCTGCTCCTGCCCCCTGCTGCCTTCCTGCTTCTGCAGCCCCAGAATCATCCCCCTGTCCCATGCAAACTGGGTTCATTAATCAAACACAGAGGAGGATTTTCGTGGCCATTGTCAAGCTGTGAGTCAGCCACACTGGAGAGACGGGTTTGAGGTTGGCACCAGCCAGCGGGTCAGGCACGGGTAGGAGGCCGGGGGCAGTTTGCAATAAGCAAACTGGGCAGCTGCCCACAGGAGGGAGGGTAAATGCCAGCTCGTAGAGGCTGGGGGTTGGGCAGAGCCGTTGACAGGACAGTGTCCAGGAAAAAGTTCCTTTGACGTTCTGTTCTGCCCTTTGGCTTCAGGCCTGAGCTTCAAGTGTGTGTGTGTGTGTGTGTGTGTGTGTGTGTGTGTGTGTGTGTGTGTGTGTGTGTGTGTGTGCATGCACGCGCGCTCGTGGGCTTGTAAGCACAGTCCCTTTAGTAAATAATCTCACAGAGGTGGCTTGGCTTCCCAATTCACTGGGGTTCTAGGTGTCCCTGGAGAAGGAAAGCTCTGCCCCCCCCCCTCCACCCCCAGCTCCCAGCCCCAGCCATCAAGTCTAAAAGCAACAGGGTCCTGACTCACTTTCCCCTTGCAGCTCAACAACAACACATCAGCAGGCCAGGCTGTGGTGGTCGAGCTGATCCTGACCTTCCAGCTGGCCCTCTGCATCTTCTCCTCCACGGACTCCCGCCGCACCAGCCCAGTGGGCTCTCCAGCCCTGTCCATTGGCCTGTCTGTCACGCTGGGCCACCTCGTGGGGGTGAGTGGTGCTGTCACTTAGGTGGGACACTCTGTGGCGGAGCCACTCAAATAAATGGAGTCCCCGGAACAGTGTCCCTTCCAATCTGATGAGACCCACTATTGTTTGAAACTTGGTCTTGGGGTTGCTGATCTCTGGCTTCATTTAGCCCCCAGACTTGATCCCCTAACATTTTCAAAAGATGGGAATAAGAGAAAGATGGGGTGAGGTCAGGGAATAAAGCCTGTGAAGAAGATGGAGAAGAGAGGAGGACAGGGGTAGGGGCCCATGATTAAGTGGACAGCCAGCATCCAAGAAGGGAAAGGTCATCAGCCTCGGATTCAGGAGTCTTGAGTTGGAGAGCTGGCTGGCCAATGGGCTACTGTATGTCCCTGGGAGTTCTGGTTCTATGGGCATCTATGGGGACATATTGCCCTCCTCACTGCTGTCCCTATCTGTCCAGATCTACTTCACCGGCTGCTCCATGAACCCAGCCCGCTCTTTCGGTCCCGCAGTGGTCATGAAGCGGTTCAGCCCCTCGCACTGGGTGAGTCTAGGTCCTCCCCTGGCTTCCATGAGAGCCTGGATATTTAGCGGTGGCAGAGAACAGAGACTAGCCTTCCTGGATGATTTGGGCCCAGAGTTGGTGAGCCTGGGATCTGGAGAAAGAAAGGAACACAGAAAGGAAATGCAGCCAGAAAAGGGGAAGTTATATGGCCTGAGATCCTGGGGACAAGGAACCCCAGGGCAGAAGGCACTATCTACTACTCTAGGGAAGGGGATCTGGACTATCTCTAGAAGTACAGAAGAGATCTTTGCTGAACTCCGCATTTTTTTCCTGTCCTTCTGTGCATCTGTGTGTCTGTCTTCTCTGTGATTTATCTATCTGTCTGGAAGAATGTTCCTGTGAGTCTGTCCCTCTGGACAGTCCTCCTTTGAGAGGAGCTATCCTGAAGTGGAGGGGAGAGTTTTCTCCATCTCCGTCTCTCCCCTTCTGAAAGTTCACTGCTTCTCTTTAGGTTGGTATTGGAGGGGCCTATCAGCCCTGGACTCTGCCTCCCTGAGAGGTCTGCATGTCAGTGATTCAGCAATGGCAGTGGGCCATCGGTGGTTCTATTAGAGAGTCTTTCCCTCTGGAGGCCTGGAAGTCTGTATGTCTGTCACCTCTTAGAATCCCATGAGTCTGTCGTCTGGTGGAGAAGGCTGTGGTGGGCCTGGGGCTCAGCCTTTGACCTCTTTGGTTCTGTCCCCTCAGGTCTTCTGGGTGGGGCCCATCGTGGGAGCCATCCTGGCTGCCATCCTTTACTTCTACCTGCTCTTCCCCACCTCCCTGAGCCTCAGCGAGCGTGTGGCCGTCATCAAGGGCACCTATGAACCTGAAGAAGACTGGGAGGAGCATCGGGAGGAGAGGAAAAAGACGATAGAGCTCACTGCCCACTGACCAGCATCCAACAGGGGCCGGCCCCTCAGCCCCTGAACCACAGGAGAAAGAGAAGAAAGCTGACAGCAACATGTCCTCCCCTCACCGTTGGTTTTCTTGGCTGGGGAAGGGGTGCTGGCTTCCCAGACTCCACAGCTGGAAATGGAAGCCCAACCGCAATGGGACACTTGGGTGAGGGCCAGGGGCTGGGGGCTGGTGGGGGCAGGGTCTCTCTGGGACAGGGCAGACTGTGCTGCCATATGGTCAAAGATTGTGAGCACCGGGCCAAGCTTGCAGGCCGCCCAGGGCCAGGTGGGAAAGAGATGGCTGCCGTCTTCTTCCCCGGCACCCAACCTGGCACCTTAAGATCTGGGCAGGCACACACAGGGGGACCCTCCTCCCTCTTCAATGGGAGACAGACTGGTTCATTGAATGCCTCTTTATTTATTTCTGGTCAAGGATATGAGGGGTGGGGCTGCTAATATTTGGCTTGGGGAGCTTCCCAATAAACTGCTGCTCTTTATATTCTGCCTTCGCACCTCTCTAGAAGCCTCTGGGGACACTCTGGCCTGATACTTCTCCCCTTTGGGATCCCATACTGATGCCCCCGACACACAATGATCTTCTCCACAGGGTACAAAAGCCCTCCAAGAAGAGAGGGAGGCTGAGGCTAGACGAGGCAGCAGTGGGGAGAGAGAAGAGCAAATATGGAAAGAGGAGAGGCCAGGAAGGAAGGGTCACCCAAGTCTCCCCTCCCTCCTCAGCAATGTCAAGTCCCACCACTTGAGGAGGTGTGGCAGACAAGGTGTAGGAGAGGGGAACCAACTGCAACCCCTCGAGATGCCAAGGAGGTGACCAGGCAGGATCCACCACACACACCTGTGACGGGCACAGTCCTGAGCTCCCGTCTCTGCATCTCAGGATTTCACAAAGGTGACATTCGAGCCACGCACTAGCGGCTCACACCTGTAATCCCAGCAACTTGGGCGGCTGAGATCTGAGGATCATAGTTCAAAGCCAGCTTGGATTAGAAGGTCTGTGAGACTCTTATGTACAGTTGACCGCTGGAGCTGTGGCTCACGTGGTAAAACACTAGCCTTGAGCAGCAAAAGCTTAAGGACAGTGCCTAGGCCTTGAGCTCAAGCCTCTAGGGACACACACACACACACACACACACACACACGCGCGCGCGCGCGCGCGCGCGCATGCACGAGCACGTGTGACATGTTGGGAGTCTGTGTCTTGAGGTTGCAGCCCCTGTCTTCCCACAAAAGCCACTTCTTGCACCATCCTGCTGCAGGTCTCCTCTCTCCTGACTCTGCCCTCAGTGTCCCTTGTCCCACCAGTCTCTCCTCTGCCCTTGCCTGCTCTTGGCTCGTTGTCACCGAAACTTCTCAGAAAGCCTCGTTAACCTCTCTGAGCCACTGTCTCTTCATGGGAATCAGATGAGGTAAGGCAGTGAGGTACCTGGCACTTGCTGGCTCTTTATGGGAAAAAGTGCACAGGCCACCCAAATGAGCAGCTCAGGCCACAGCCAAGGGTCACTTACAGTCTGAAGGAGAGGCAGGTGATCCATGGCCAAATCTAGCTGACAAGGTTGGGTAACAAGCTCTTTGGGCTTCACTTACACCCTCTGTATAGCAGGAATTCTTTTACCTACCTCATGGGTTGCTGTGGGGAGAAAATGAGACAGGGGGCAGGAGAAAATGGCAGGGAGCAAGAAGGGAGGGTACCTGTCAAGTGCTCATTGCATGGTGTTGAACGAAATCAGCAGAGCCCTGCGTTCAAACCCCAGGACCAGTTGGAGATGCAACTCAAGTGGCAGACCGACAGCTAAGCAAGCAAAATGAGCAAATGTGAGCCCCTGAGTTCTAATCCCAGTACTTCTGAGAGAGAGAGACAGAGACAGAGAAACAGAGACAGAGAGACCAGCCTGGGCTTGTGGCCACGGCTGCTCAGGTACCTCTGTAATGAAAACCTCCCCTTTGCTCTTCAGTTTTGCTCCAACAGGGCAGAGAGATGTCCTGAGGAAGGACTTGAAAAAAATGCAGACGTAGACTAGCCAGTCCAGACCACCCTGTCCTCCTCCAAACTGTAGTCTAGGGTCTGTGAGCAGAAGCTTCAGCCTCCCTCCCCGCACCCCTCCCCAGCCTGCCAGCCTGGGGCTTCCCGTGAATGCTGAAGGAGGGCCCCTGACCCTCTGTGATCACACTTCACCTCTAGATTTCCAGCAGCTGCTCCAGCCTGGGGAGCCTGGTTGCAAGCACCAGTTTTGGCCAGCAGGGGGAGGCCTACCCCACCAAATCCACAGCATGTGTTCTCTCTTCCTGAGTCCTGGGGCTGGGCTCTTGCCAAGTGGGGGTGGCGCTGGGTGCTGAGGGTCTTGAGGACCATAGTAGGATTGCAGGTGCTGCCAAGTTTGAACCTGCCATAGTCTCTCAGACTTGGGTCCCCTGGGGCTACCAGGAAGCAGTAGGTTCTTAGTCCAGCCTATCAGGGCAAACAGAAGGGAGCCCTTGCCCCTCAAATCTTCGAAGGCTCAGGTTAAGGGCATAGTGGTGACTGGCCTCTGTCTTCTGCTCAGCAACGTATATTCCTTTCTATGACAGGTTTCAGGAAGGGAGATGTGATAGGGTGAACAGTTGGCCAATAAGAGATAAACCCTCCAGATGGGTGGGGCATCCAGGCACAAGGAGTTACCAGCCTTGAACTTCCTGCTGTTGACATTGGCGCTGCCACTGGCTGAGTCCAAAGAGGGTTTTGAGAGGACAAAGTCCTGGTCATTGGGGCTGTTTAGCCAGCAGGGGGCACTGTGCTTCCATGCCTGATCTTCCATGAGCCAACAAAGACCTGAGCACATGAGCACACTGCACACTAACCCTGTCTGCTTTATCTCTTGGGCTCCTGCTCCTAGCCACACACTGACCTTCAGTTATGCCCAAGGGGCTGCATCTTCCGGCTGTGTCCCTTCCCTTGGCATAATCATGACACTCCTGGTGTGGCCTGTGGCAGGACCACAGGGAACCATACCTATAGACCTAGCTTCACATGTCTTCAGGCACACGCGCGTGCAGTCATGCCCCAGCGTGCACAAGCTAAGACCCTTCTCTGACTTTCTGAACTTCCTCAAGACAGAGTCCAAAAAGAGCCTAGATGCTCCCTTTGGAGGCATCTGACACCCTGCAATCCAAGGTGAATGAGGAAGACAGGAGATCTAGGGGGAGCCAGTTTCCATGAGGGACAAGTGGACCTGGTAACAGGATACAGAGATGGAAGAGGACCAGGACTAAAGAAAATAGACACATGGGCTGGGAAGGTGGCTCAATGGTAGAGTGCTTGCCTTGCATGCTCAAGGCCCTGGGTTCGATTCCTCAGCACCACATAAGCAAAAAGAAAAAAGCCGGAAGTGGCACTGTGGCTCAAGTGGTAGAGCGCTAGCCTTGAGCTGAAGAGCTGAGGGACAGCGCCCAGGCCCAGAGTTCAGGCCCCACGACCGGACTCAAAAAAAAAAAAAAAAAAAGAAAATAGACACAGGGTGGCTGTTTTGATGGATGGACAGAAGAAGAGATTGCTGGGAGAATTAAGTATCTCAGCTTTGGCTCCCTTCTCTGTTAAACTCAACCTTTCTACTTTGTAGGGGTCAGAGAGATCATGGATGGGAAGCCACCTCAAGCTCTTTCCCTTACGTTTGTTTGTTTTGGGTTTTTTGTTTTTTTTTTTTTGGTCAGTCAAGGGGCTTGAACTCAGGGCCTGAGTGCTGTCCTTGAGCTTTTTTTTCTTTTGTCTTTTCCTTTTTGTCTTTTCTTTTTTGGTACTGGAGATCGAACCCAGAATGCTGTACTTGCTAGGTAAGCACTTTGCCACTGAGCTACATCCCAGCCCTGTCCTTGAGCTTTTTAATTCAAGGCTAGTGTTCTACCACTTTGAGCCACAAAGCCACTTCCAATTTTCTGGTGGCTAATTGAGGATAAGAATCTCATCGACTTTCCTTCTCCAGGCTGGCTTTGAACCATGATCCTCAGATCTAGGATTACAGGCATGAACCACAGATGCCTGGCTCTTGTCATTTATTATTTTCTCCTTCTTTCCCTCCCTCTAACTTCTCAAGCCCTGTGAGGGCCTAGTCAGAGTTCACACTGACTGGCAGCCACCACAGGCAGCCAGGCATGGGGCCTTGGCTAAATGCCATGAGTAAGTTCATAGTTTGGCATTGGAATCCAGGAATGGCTGGGTCCAGAAAAGTGTTGGCTGAGACAAGCAAAACCAGGCTGGTGCAAGTCTTGATCAACGCCCACCTGCCCTCAGGGGGTAAAGGACCTTGTCTCAGGCCAAATAGGGGCCATGTCTAGCTGGGGCAAAGAGCTATCTCTGAGCTTAATGCTCTGGGACTCTAGGGACAGTGCAAGGCTATAGTTACTGTCAGTCCTGGGCCTGCCTTAGCAACCAAGACCTTCTCATCCTGCCGTCTCTCACAGCAGTCTCCTTAGAGGGAGAAGAGAGTTACAATCCAAATGGTGAACTCCTGGAAGCACTTTCCTGGCATGAGCACATTTACCACCATCGTGCAAACAGGTGGTAGTTGTCCCCATTTTATAAGCAAAGATACTGAAGCCACAGCCATTAAGCAAGTCAGGAGCACAATCTACATGGCCCTCTAGCCAGCATGGTATTAGGGGCAGCGAAGATATGTAGTGTAGGAAAACAGGAATGTTGTGTGATCTGAGAATCCAGTAGGAAAGCTAATGGACACAGTTATTCTAGGAGAAATGGTGAAGAGCTGGACTGGGCCTGTGGCAAATTGGGACAGAAAGAGGTGTCAAATGTGAGAGATAATATCCAGGAACCTGGCCACATATTGGGAGGGGGTGGAAGGAAAGGGAAGCATGAGGACTGTCCCTTTAACAGCCACAAGAACAGTGAAGATACTGTATAGGGCTGGAGTCCTGGAAAGAGGCCCAGAGCCTGTGGAAGATATGGAGGCCACAGGCCAGGCAGTTTCATGGTGAGTGAGCAGAGTAATGGGCCAGAATCGGACAGAAGCTGAGCTTAAGGGTGAGCCAGTGGGAGACACCCTGAGTCTCGAGTCTGGGTAGAAAGAGCCTCCAAATGCGCCATGCCTCATAAGTAGGCCAGGCGAAACTTCAAGAATCTAAAGACAGTCAGAAGCACACACGGAAGCCACAGTGGGCCAAAGAGGAAGCACAGAGGCTGACGGCTCTCAAGCCAAGATCTTCTTACCCATGATTACCCAGGCAAGGTCCTGGGAAGAAATTGGAGGCAGTGGGGGAGAGAGGGAGGGAGACAGAAAGGGCCAAGAACAGATTCCAGTCTCTCAACAGTCAAGGGAGGCAAGGCACAGGACCCCAGGAAAAAATGCCTCTTCTTCAAAGATAAGGGCAGCCTGGGAAGCCCAGGCAAGGTGTGTGGGGAGGAAAAGTAGGAGAAGCCTTGCTGGTAGCCTGGCTTCCTGGGTAGGATGAGAGACCTAGTTGGTGTGATACTGCAAGAAAGCCAGAGGTGCTGGATGCTGGTGGCTCATGCCTGTAATCCTAGCTACTCAGCCAGAGCAACAGAGTGCTGAAGGAAAGCGGGGAAAGCTTGAAGAACGTCATGGGAAAGAGGTGACTGGAGACCGTGGAAGGATTGCTGAGCTGGGCTGCAGCCTCTGCTGAGGACAGAGACCTTACACTGAGGCAGCAGCCTGTATGGCTGGCCAGTTTCTCCAGCAGGGCCCAGCAGCGCAGATGGGGTCGAGAGGTGTGGAGGAGAATGCGAATGGAGTCATAATGAGAAGAGAGCCAGAAGCCAAGAACTGGTAACAATGTGTACCGGGTGAGATGCCAGGGGTCCTCTGGGGGAGGGCAGGGTGAAGCCAGGACAGCTGGAAGAATGGATGTGGGAAGGTAAGATGGTTTGGTTTGGGGGTTTTCTTTATACTGGGCATTTTGTTTTATCTTTGGGTGTGTATGCTGGTCCTGGGGCTTGAGCTCAGGGCCTAAGCACTTGTCCCTGAAATTTTTTAGTCAAAGCCAGTGCTCTGTCACTGTCATTGCTCCACTTCTGGCTTCTTTTGGGGGGGAGGTGGGAGAGGGGTACCAAATTGGAGATAAGGGTCTCATGCCTTTCCTGTCCAGGCTGGCTTTGAACCATGATCTTCAGCTCTCAGCCTCCTGAGTAACTAGGATTATAGATAGGAGCTCCTGGGACTCAGCTTGGGTTTGAGACAAAGTATTGCCTTGTAGTTCAGGCTGGTCTTGAACTCTTAATCCTCTTACCCCTGCCTCCTGAGTGCTGGGATTAAAGGCATGAGCCAATGTGCTTGGCTAGGTGAGGGTAATTTTACTGGGACTGAAATGGGGGAAGAATTGAGTAGGAGTCATCCAAACAAAGTAAATGGCAGATACTCTTGAAGGAGAGGTGAAAGTTTGCTCCTGGAGAGCTAGGTGGGCCAAAAGGCAAAGGACAAGACAAGGAAAAGGACCAAGGGTGGGAGGAGGAGCAGGATCACAGAGGACCTGGTTGAGCCAAGCGAGGAAGTTCCAGAGGGATAGGGGGACCGGCAGGGATTTTAGCAGGGAGCGGCAGGATTTGCTTTGTGTTTTGGAAAGATCACACCAGCTGCAGTGTGGAGAATTGATTGGAGCAGTGCATGGGGGTAGAGAGACTGCTAAGGGCATAGCCAAGACATGTGCAGGACTAAAATCAGCAGGGTGGGGGAAAGAGGGAGGAAGGAAAGGAGCCATGGACCACCAACTGAGTGCAAGACAAGAGGGTGTCTACCTTAAGAAAGACCACAGTTGGGGAGCCTGAAGACAGCCCAGTGACATGGAGTAGGTATGGCTTGGGAGGAGGTCAGAGTCCCCCCCAACCTACCATGTGGACATGATTTTACTGGCTCTGAAGCCCTCCTCCCCCTCCCCCTCCCCCTCCTCCTCCTCCTCTTCCTCCTCTTCCTCCTCCCCCTCCTCTTCCTCCTCTTCTTCCTCCTCCTCCTCCTCCTTTTCTTCTTCCTCCTCCTCCTCCTCCTCCTCCTCCTCCTCCTCCTCCTCCTCTTCCCCCTCCTTCTCCTCCTTCCCCTCCTTCTCCTTCTTCTTCTCTTTTTTCTTCTTCTATCTGATTTTTATTGTCTTTAAGTAGTTTTACAAAGGAGTTGTCATTCAACAAAGCAGTTTATGAATATAGTGTATCTTGGTTGCAGCTTCTGAAAGGGAACACCTTTGAGAAAATGTCTTCCTATACTGTTGGGAGTATAAGTGGAAAGCCTAGGCATAGATAACCTTAGGGCCAACATAGCTACAAAAATGGATAACGGTGTGTATGTGCATGTGCACACTCGTGCACATGTGTGCATGTACTAGGGCTTAAACTCAGGGCCTGGGTGCTACCCCTAAGCTTTTATATTCAAGTCTAGTGTTCTACCACTTGAGCCACAGCTCTCCTTTCTAGTTTTTTGTTTTTTGTTTTGGTGGTTAATTGGAGATGAGTCTCACAAGCCTTCCTGCTCAGGTTGGCTTTGAACTGTGACCCCTCCAGATTTTAGCCTCCTGAGTAGCTAGGATTATAGGCATGAGCCACAGGTGCCCAGCTTAAAAATGGATAAGCTTTGAGGGAAGACAGACAGAGGCAGAAGAGGTGAGGGAAAGGAAGGAAATTTCCACCAGGACACTGTAGAGTTACCCACTGCCACATTGGCAGCTGGCACAGTTTAAATTACTGTGGAATGAACCCCTCCTCTATTGCCTCTTTCTGTACTCGCTCCCCCCATGCAAATCCATGTCCTTAGTGAAGTTGGTTCTATTCACATCCACAATCAGCAAGTGGGGTTGTAAGTGGGAATAAGGGAGAGCGCTTAATTTCACATCTGGGTTTCAAGGATGCAGAATCTGCTCAGCTCACTGAGAGGCAAAACCTGGAGGCACATGGGGGGAGGGGAAAGGAGGCTTTAGTTAAGTGAGCAGGAGTCCCTGTAGAGGCTCCAGCCTTGGACTTCGGGAGCTGTATGAACTTGCTCTCCCTAAGCAGACAGGGACCAGTGACTCGTCTACAACCCACTGCCTGTCCCTCTATTGCAGCTTGAGTTTGGTCCATCTTGGGAAGTTCCAGGTCAGTGCTCTGGCCCCGTCCTGTCAGGTGAGCTCAGGGTGGAGCAGACATGTGAGCACCCCTCCTCCTACCCCCACTTATTCATAACCCCATCCCATCCACAACCCCCTGCCAATTGGACCAGCTGGGTGGAGGAGCTGCACGCGGGACCAGCAAAGTCTCCTCAGACAGTGACAGCCAGGAGTCTTGCAGAGACAAGAGACATCAGGAAAAACAGAGGATCAGAGCTGAGAGGCGCAGAGGCTAGGCCCCTCAAGAAACCAAGGTGACAGCCAAGGTACAAGGTGTGGGGGCATGGAGCCACTGCGCAGCAGGATTTGCATGTTGGTGAGCAGGCTTTGGACCGTCATCAGCAAGGCTCTGTTTGCAGAGTTCCTGGCCACGGGGCTGTACGTGTTCTTTGGCGTGGGTTCAGTCCTGCGGTGGCCCTCAGCACTTCCTTCTGTGCTGCAAATTGCCATCACCTTCAACCTGGCCACTGCCACAGCCGTGCAGGTCTCTTGGAAGACAAGCGGGGCCCATGCCAACCCTGCTGTGACACTGGCCTTCCTCGTGGGATCCTATATCTCGCTGCCCCGGGCTATGGCCTACGTAGCTGCCCAGCTCACAGGGGCTACAGTGGGGGCTGCTCTGCTCTATGGACTCACACCTGGAAACGTCCGAGGGACCCTGGGGATCAATGTGGTAAGTACTGGAAGGATGTGTGCAGGCAAGTACACAGGGGCATGTGACAGGGTCCACAGGAGGAAAAGCCACATGGGTGTTAAGACCCAGGCTAGAGAAGAGGGAATGAATGGAGAAGCCAACAATTCAGCCACATGCTGGATGCTCTAAGCTGAGCACTGGACCCCAGAGGAATCATACTTTAGCTCTCTTCTAGGCTGAATAGGAGAGAATTGTGGTATAAGGAACACATAGAGAAGGGAGAAGCCATGGGAAGGGGAAATCGAAGGACTAGTCATCTAAAAGCAGGTGTGGCTGAAGGAGGGCTGGAACTGAGGGGTCACAGAAGCGGCCTCTGCTTCATTTGGTTTCCCCCTGCAGTTCTACCTCAGAGCCTCTGCTCCTCCATCTTCCCTGGCCTTGCTCCCTTTCTCCCTACTCACCTAATCAGGCCCGTCCTCTCCTAGTCTGAAGCTTCTACCTCCCCTCTGATGGGATGGAAAAGATGCTGCTCACTCCCTGTTCCGGAGCTACATGAATCTATTACACAGATCTCCCTAGGTCTTAGAGCTGGGCTCTGGGAGGTATTACATGATTGCTGGTGAGGAAACCAGGCTCGTGGGATTCACCACACTGTGGACAGAGCCCTTATCCACTCCAATGTAACTTCCTCTGCCAAGGTCCATAACAGCACCTCCACTGGCCAGGCGGTGGCAGTAGAGCTGATTCTGACCCTGCAGCTAGTGCTCTGTGTCTTTGCTTCTACGGACAATCGTCATGCAAGAGGCTCTCCAGCCGCCATGATCGGGACCTCTGTGGCTTTGGGTCACCTCATTGGGGTAAGGGGCTAAGGGACATGAATACACGGGGGGTCCTCCTTGGGTGAACTAGTGGGCACAGACACAGAAAGTGTCTCGTCCTGAGTCCTTCAATGCCTTGGGACTACAGCAGTGTCTGGATCTCCAGCTCCTAGATACAGTGAGGTAGGGAGGGGCCTCTGAGGCAGGGCAAGGGGACTGTCTTCTCCCAGGATGCCTCAAGTCTCTCCACATGCTGCTCCTGCACTTGCTCTCCAGATCTACTTCACTGGCTGCTCTATGAACCCAGCGCGCTCCTTTGGTCCTGCTGTCATCGTGGGAAAGTTCACAGTGCACTGGGTGAGACTCTCGGCCATGGGAAAGGGGGAAGAAAGAGGTTAACAGAAATAATAATAGTTAATGGAGATAAGACTGTCAGGGAAGCTGGGTGCTGGTAGTTCATACCTGTAATCCTAGCTACTCAGGAGGCTGAAATCTGAGGATCATAGTTCAAAGCTAACTCAGACAGAAAAGTCCATGCGACTCTTATCTCCAATTAATCACCCAAAAAAAGACCCCCAAAACAAAACAGAGATGGAACTATGGTTCAAGTGGTAGAGTACTAGTCTTGAATACGAAAGCTCTGGGACAGTGCCCAGGGTCTGAATTCAAGCCTCAGGATGAAGGAAGGAAGAAAGGAAGGAAGGAAGGAAGGAAGGAAGGAAGGAAGGAAGGAAGGAAGGAAGGAAGGAAGGAAGGAAGGAAGGGAGGGAGGGAGGGAGGGAGGGAGGGAGGAAGAAAGGAAGGAAGGGAGGGAAGGAAGGAAGGAAGGAAGGAAGGGAGGAAGGAAGGAAGGAAGGGAGGGAAGGAGGGAGAGAGGGAGGGAGGCAGGGAGGGAGGGATAGAGGGGCTGGGAATGTGGCTTAGTGGTAGAGTGCTTGCCTAGCATGCATGAAGCCCTGGATTCCATTCCTTGGTACTACATAAATAGAAAAAAATGGAAGTAGTGTTGTAGCTCAAGTGGTATAGAGTGCTAGCCTTGAGCAAAAGAAGCTCAGGGACAGAGCCCATGCCTTGAGTTCAAGCCCCAGGACTGGCAAAACAGAAAAGAAAAAGGGAGGGAGGGAGGAAAGGAGAAAGGAGAGAGAAGTGGAGCTGTGTCTCAAAATGATAGAGCACTAACCTTGAACAAAAAGAGCTCAGGGACAGTGGCCAGGCCTTGACTTTAAGCCTCACAGCTGACCAAAAAAAAAAAATTAAATTAAATTAAAAATTTGAAGGGAGTGAAAGAAAGAAGGAAAAGGAAAAAAAGAATTAGAGATGGCAGGTTTACCGGTAAGTGTCCAGAGACTTGGGAAGATAAACCCCTAGCTTGACCATTTAGACCTGGAAATGGAAGTTTCCTAATTGAGGAAGGCCAGAGTGAATATCCTGGTTTATATATTACATCCTTTCCAGCTCTGATCGCATGTGGCACCCAGTGGACTGACAAGAAATAGGACATAGCAGGAGCTGCAGCCTTGTCCCAGCCTTTATATTCTGTTTCCTTCTGCACTTTCTCCAGCTGGACCAATTTTCAAACTTGAATAAAGAAAAAGACGAACAGAAATAGACACACACACACACACACACACACACACACACACACACACACACACACCAGCAGCAGAGATAGAAATGGCAAGAGCTAGAACTTGGCTGAAACAAGGGAGGGGAGAGGAAAGAAGCAGGCGTGAGTATGAGAGTAACCTTAGGCCTCCAGTCCAGGCCATGCCTGAATAGCTGAGCCCCACTCCACAGAAGGTCCTCTCATATCATGGGCCCCAGAATCAAGATTCATGGCTTTCAAATGATCACCTTTAAAGCCAGGCCCGTATGGCTCGTGCCTGTAATCTTAGCTACTCAAGGGGCTGAGATCTGAGGAACACAGTTTGAAGTCAGCCCAGGCAGCCAAAGTCTGTGATATTCTTATTGCCAATTAATCAACAAAATGCCAGAAATGGCGTTGAGGCTCAAGTGGTAGAGTGTGGCCTTGAGCATACAAGTCTAGGGACAGCACCCAGACCCTGAATTCAAGTCCTAAGACTAGCACCAAAAATAACAAAACCAAACCCATCACCTTTGAGAGTTCCTGGGAGACTATGTCAACACTAGGAAAGTAGGCAGGCAGGATCCCCAAACCACTCGGATTTGGATAGCTCACGGGAGGGGTATCTACTTGTGTCTCCTCAGATCTTCTGGGTGGGACCCTTGACAGGGGCTGTTCTGGCTTCATTGATCTACAACTTCATCCTGTTCCCTGACACCAAGACCGTGGCCCAGCGACTGGCCATCCTCATGGGTACCACAGCAGAGGAGAAAGTTGTAGAGGTGCAGCCTGAGAAGAAAGACTCCCAGTGTAATTCAGAGGACATCGAAGTGAGCGTGTGACCCAGCATAGCCCTTGGCACCTCAGGCACCATTGTATCATCTGACTTGAGATTTTCCTAGTGGGCAAATTACAAGGAGGAATTACAAGGGGGAATACAGAAGCTTGGGACTCTTAGGGTGGGCAGTGGGAAAAAATGTGCCAGCTTCATTCCCTGGCATTACATCCCTGGCCCTCCCTCCCTCCCTTCCTTGTCTCCTTCCCTTCTTTCCTTCCCTCCCTTCATTTTTTTTCTCTTCCTTCCTTGCCTATGTCCATTTTTTCCAGTCCTGGGGCTTAAACTCAGGGCCTGGCCACCGTCCCTGAGCTTCTTTTGCTCAAGGCTAACACTCTACCGCTTGAGCCACAGCACCATTTCCAGCTTTTTCTGTTTATGTGGTATTGAGGAATCGAACCCAAGGCTTTATGCATGCTAGGCACTCTACCAGTAAGCCACCTTCCCAGCCCCCCTCCACTTTGTTTTCTGAGATGGGCCTTGAGGCATTGTCCAGGCTAGCCTTGAACTCACAATCCTCCAGACTGTGAGCTCCAGAATGGCTGGGACTACAGGCACATCACTATGCCCACCTTCTACATTTGTATAGTGAGAGCATGTGGGATCAAATACACCCAGTTCACTCTCCCTAAGCCTTCCTTTTACTAGGGTTCAAAGCAAGAGAGCCAGAGGATGATGATGTCTCCCTTTTGCACACTCAGCTAAACTCCAGTGGAACCCCTGGGCCTCCAAATCCCCATCTTAGGAGAAGGTAAATTGGAACCTAGCCAGTCATTCTGTTCCCACTCTGACCAGGGACTCAAGGAATCCCACTTTACCCATCAAGGGAGACTTTGGGGAGCAGGACACAGGTATCTTAGAACTGGGCCCTGGGACAGCCTCTGAGTTCCTCAGTTATTTGTCTGCCCAGGGGGATGGTTTTAGGGATGTGATTCTCCTGTCAGGCTAGGGGCTTTCTGAACCCTGAGACTGCCCCTCCCAAGAGATCTATGTTCCTCATTTTCCCCACCCCATTGGGAAAAGCAGACCTAAGGAAACTTTTCTTGGGCTAGCAAAAGAAGGGCGCTTTGGACCAGATGGGCCTTGTCCCAGGTCTGGCTTTCCCTAAGAGTTCATCTGCTCAGACCCAGTGACAGAAACCATCCTGAGGGAGAAACCTCCATCTCCCACTCTCAGTTCATCATAGGACCCGTAAAAGAAGGGATTATAATTAAGTTCTGAGGATGGTAGGATCATGAGAATGACCCAAGAAACCAATATTCAAGGGTTAAGTACCTCTGAAAGATTCCAGGCATTCAAACTTGTTTGTTAAAATTTAAAGGATGCTGGGGCTGGGAAGGTGGCTCAGTGGCAGAGCGCTTGCCTTGCATGCATGAGGCCCTGGGTTCGATTCCTCAGCACCACATAAGCAAAAAAGAAAAGAGCCGGAAGTGGCGCTGTGGCTCAAGTGGTAGAGCGCCAGCCTTGAGCTGAAGAGCTGAGGGACAACGCCCAGGCCCAGAGTTCAGGACCCATGACCGGACCCCCAAAAAAAAAATTTTAAAAGATGCTGTAAATCTATTCTACCTATGATTTGAAGTCCTGTCTGGATTTCTACTTTCCCAGCTATAAAATGGGTGTAATCTTTCCCTCAGGGACAGCTATGAAAATAATGTGATTTAAAAGTACTTTAGGAAGTTAAAATGCTGATAAAAACCACCCCCAATAAATGATGATGATTGTTGCGGTTACCGTAATTATTGGGTTTGAGTACAATTACTGTTGGTAATGGGAGGGTGGAGGGAAGAAGGGAGAGAGGGAGGGAAGATTGCAGGTTTTCATCTACTCACTAGGGACTCTCCCTTCTCTCTTGAGGCTGCTGACCTGGGAGCTTTGTGGCTGTGGGGGTTTGGGGGAGGGACCCTGGAATGAAGAGACAAGCCAATAAAAGTCAGTTCTTCTCATCTCTATGGAGCTCATCACCATGGTACCCTGAGATGCAGCAACCAAATCCATAAAAAAAAAAAAAAAAGCTAGGTCCTTTTCCATGATGTTTCCCAAGGGGCTGGAGATGGGGGAAGGGCTGCCAAAAACCTTCCAAGGACAGAACAGGCCTAGCCTGTGACCACTGCAGTAGCTGAGTCTCCAGTGTCTATGGCTCCAGCAGCTGTGCTAGGCATTCTGTACTATTGTCAGTGCTATTCGTCAGTGCTATTCACGTCTCTCCAAGCAGGGTTCCACTCATCCATTTTTGCAATCTTTCAGAGCCCAGGGCTTCCTGTGCCCTTTTATGAGCAGGGACAGCTGGGTATGTGTATGTATATTGTGTGTGCATAAGTGTGTGAAGAGGACATGATTGACGTGCTAAAGGTCACTCATCTCAGTTGCATAGACTCCCAAGGTCTCTAACTCCCAGCTTAGAATTTTCCAAAATAGAGCGGCAGGGGGGCTTATGCAAGCTTCAGCCTCAGGAAGGTAGGAGGCAGGAACTAGAGAGTTGCAGGGGGTGGGGTTCTACCCTAGGCTCTTGAGCTTCTTGACAAATTGTCTCTGCATCTCCAGAGCCAAGCACACACCGGGTGCTCAATAAAAGTTTGATGAATGAATGACTGAGGCTGGGTGGCTGGGGAAGGAGAGGATGCAATAATTGATCAAGAGGAGGAAATGCAGGAGTTACAGCTGCAAATGAGCCAAAATGACAGCAGCTGGGAAGCCTCTGCTTCCAGGCAGGGGCTGGAAGAGGACAGTAGCCAGACATTTGAGTGTCTACTTACCACCCCAGAGCAGCCAGGTCAACCTGGTCCCAGAATTTACAGGACGAAAGGGCAAGGGTAGTTGCCTGAGGGGAAAGTAGGGATTATGTTCACTGATAGTTCTTTAGCATTTGTCTTGTCAGGTCAGACTAGAGGAAGAAATTAGCTTCTTGAGAAGTAAGGAATTAGGTTAGAAGCTGAAGAGCATCGAAGGTTAGATGCAGAGGCAACCACGGGTTAGTTTCTCCTTCTCTCGAGCCCTTTAATAGGACAGCAGGCCATCTGTTAGGATGAGGGAAGAGCTGGCCTTTGGCGAGCTCAATCTCAGCGGCCCCAGCTGGGAAAGCAGGCTTCACTGCCAAGGACTCTGGGCCTGGTTGGGAGAGGGGGCCTGGAGAGAACAGAGACCCAACCAGAGGACCCTTGGTGTGCACTCCCTGCCTCCCATTTGTCAGGGGAAGTTTTTAATTAATGGTGTGTAATCTGATCTGGCCCTTCTCCCTGCTGAGCACTGCCTTCAATCAGTGGAGCCATCTGCAATTGCAATTCATAATTCTCCCGAAAGGGAGGGGGACCCGGGATGGGTGCCTTGGTGATTAATACAATTAGCCTTTTATGTTGATGATTGTCTTAGCAGGAGCAGATGATGGGAGCATGGAGCCTAGGTGGTCGCTTCCGATTGGCTGACAGGAAGCCCCTCACCACTGCCCATCCCCACTGCTGGTTTTTAACCTGCTACCAGCAGCCCTCATTGGGAACCAAAACATGCAAGAGGGAAAGGTCAAGAAGGGGCCAGGTTCTGGGACACAATTAGCCCCCCAGGACTGACAGAAAAAAATCAGCAGCACAATGATAGAGACCTCTACTTCCCAAAGAAAACTCACCTGGACCAGGAAGGTTCTATGCAACAAGGTTGAAAGGAGTAGAGTAAGTGTAGGAATATAAACTGACAGTTTTAGGTCGGGTGTGTGTGCTGATACTAGGGCTTGAACTTGGAGCCCTGGATGCTGTCCCTTAGCTTTTTTGCTCAAGGCTGATGCTCTGCCACTTGAGCCACAGTTCTACTTCTGGCATTTTTCTAGTTGATTGGAGATGTGTTTCCTGATTTGTCTGCTCAGGCTGGCTCTGAACCAAGATCCTCAGATCTCAACCTCTTGAGTAGCTAGGCTTACAGGCATGTGCCCAACAGCATTGACCATTTAAATACAGGTTCCAGCACTTACCAGCTGAGGAATTTAAGTAAGTTAAGGATCCTAAGCCTCAATTTCCTCTACTGGAAAATGAGGCAGTTAAAAGGAGCCAGCTGGGCACTTGTAGCTCACGCTTGTAATCCTAGCTACTCAGGAGGCTGAGCTCTGAGGATCGAGGTTCAAAGCCAGCTTGAGCAGGAAAGTCCATGAGACTCTTATCTCCAATAAACCACTCAGAAAACTAGAAGTGGTGCTGTGGTTCAGGAGGTAGAGCTCCTGCCTTGAGCTGAACAGCTGAGGGACAATGTCCAGGCCCAGAGTTCAAGCCCCACAACCGACCAAAAAAGAAAGAAAGAAAAAAGAAAAGAAAGAAAGACATGAGCCATGTTTATTTAGCAAGCTCAGTCACTTAATCACTCCATCAATTACCATCACTACCACAGTGGATTCCATTTCAACCACCATGAGTATGGAAGGCCACTTCCCTTACAGTTTCTACACAGGCCAAGACTGTTACTAGGCATTGCATCCTTACCATACACCAGGCTTAGTAGATTCTCAGTGCACACAAGCAAATGTGTTCAATAAGAAGCAGGGATGGAATCTCAGGGACAAAGAAGAGTCAAAAGTCAAATCCAAGAAAAGAATTAAGAGCCTTCTCATAAAGAAGCAAAGTCCTGAGGTGATTGTAGATGGGAAAGGTAGTTTGGAGAGTTTAGGAAATAAGGGTAAGGAGGCTGAATGGGGTAGTAAGTAAATAAAAAGAAGCATGGCTTTGAGGATTTGCAGTTTCATAGGAAAGTAAATAAAAGTGAGCTAACATCAGAGCTGAGGTTTTAGGTGTAGCTTAGACCAAAGATCACTGTGATCTAAGAGGTCAGGGGATGTGGAAGCAGCTGTTTGGGGTTTTGATGGGAAATTCTTACCAGGTCAGGAGAGGGCCTCGCCCCACATTGGCCCTACAACACTGCTCTCAGTGACTTACAATAGCATGGGAGAATGCAGGGAACAGGTCCACAGAGAAAAGAGCTTGAGATGAAAAGAATAACAGAGCTGGGAAACAGTGGCTCATATCTATAATCCTAGCTACTCAGGCTAACATCTGAAGATCACAGTTCAAAGCCAGCCCGGGCAGGAAAGTCCATGGTCCTCTTTTTTTTTTTTTTGAGGGTCTGGTCGTGGGGCCTGA